CTTTGTTATCAGCAAACAAGCAATTATCTCTTTCAGAACCTTTTATTAAAGACTTAATGAAATGCACATTATTCTTTGGCTTTGTATTTATTTCTGAGAAAACAAATGGTATATGTTGCTTTCTCTATTGTCTGTCTTCCCACGGTAATCATGAACTACATTCAGGCAGCAAGTAAATCAGGCACATTCTGAAAATGAGGTAAAACTGTTAATGCAACTAAATGGAGCTTAATCAGACATTTTATTTCATTAACATGTTCTACAGCTTAAGTGTGTTTAAGCTTCAGTAGTGTTTGCTTCAAAACATGAATAATTCATTCTAAATGCTGTCTGTTGCTGTAGAATAGAACTGAAAAAGAGTGAGAATAAAAAGTGCATGTTGTTAATGATTGGAGTTTGTTAATGTGACTATTTTTGTGCCCCCTGCATGCAACTGATTTGTTGTTGTTTTATAAAAGAAAAAATCAATACAAACAAAGAAATGAAGTATACAGGAAATATTCAAGTAAATCAGTATATTTTCTCTTTTTTCCCCATGTATTTTTCTATTTTTCTGTCATTTTTCACAACCTAATTAGGAGAGAAACAGGGTTTTCAGCGTAAGGACTGTTGTTTGTTTTGGATTATATTTTTCTTACTGTGTCAGAATGTTTGAATATCAGTTGTATCATACGTTATTTCATCTTTTGATTGATACTGACAATTACTGATGTTCAGCAGGTCATTTGATCAGTCTTTTACATTGTGATTCTGCAAGAAAGTAAAAAATATTTGTGTAAGGCAAATGGGGATGTGTTTGTGGTTTGTGTGTTCACGTTAACAGCTACTGCAACCTTCTTACTGAACAAAGATATGAAATATACACACTACCATTCAAAAGTTTGTGGTCTGTAAGATTTTTTTAATGATTTTAAAAGTTGTCTCTTAGGCTCACCAATGCTGCATTCACTTGATCAAAAAAGTAAAGTAAAAAACAGTAATATTGTGAAGTATTATAACAATTTAAAATAACTGTTTTCTGTTTTAGTATATATATATAGAGAGAGAGAGAGGGAGATATTTTATTCCTGTGATGGCAAAGCTGAATTTACTGCAGCCATTACTCCAGTCTTAAGTGTCACATGATGCTTCAGAAATTATAATTATATACTTATCTGGTGCTCAAAAAAATACTTTAGTGAATAGAAAGTTCAAAGAACAGCATTTATTTTTAAAAAAATGTTTGCAACATTGCAAATGTCTTTAAATTAAAGTATTAATTTCTCTCTTTTTGTTTCTTTCAAAAAACGTATAAATAAAAATCTCATTGATCCCAACCTTTTGAACCGTTGTGTGTGTGTGTGTGTGTGTGTAGAGCGAGCGAGAGTGTAAAGTTATATCTGTTTAGATGCGTTTGCCATGGACAATACAGATCAATACAAGTGCCTTATCCTAAAGCTCCGGCAGGTTCTCTATCTTCGGAACACTTTGTCAAGCCAAGTCAAGTCACCTTTATTTATATAGCACTTTTAACAATACAGATTGTGTCAAAGCAACTGTATAGCATTAATTAGGAAAATAGTGTGTCAGTAATGCAAAGTGACAATAGTAAACACTAATTTTTCAGTTAAAGGCAGTTCATCATTGAATTCAGTGATGTCATCATCAGTTCAGTTTAAATAGTATCTTTGCAATCATTTACAATCAAGTCAACGATATCGCTGGAAATGAAGTGTCCCCAACTAAGCAAGCCAGAGGCGACAGCGGCAAGGAACCAAAACTCCATCGGTGACAGAATGGAGAAAAAACCTTGGCAGAAACCAGGCTCAGTCGGGGGGCCAGTAATGTAAAATGGTACCATTTGTTAACATTAAAAAGTAAATGCATTAGCTAACATGAACTAATAATCAGCCATATATTTTCTAAAGTATTTATTAAACTTTCGTTAGTAAAAATATAATTATAATAGAATTGTTCATTGTTTGTTAATGTTTGTTCGCAGTGCATTATTTTAATGTTAACAAATAAAACTTAATTGCAAAAAATTTGTAAGTGCTGAGATTGATATGACTAATCTTAAAATATTGTTACTATTCATTATTAGTTTAACTAATGTAATATACACTGCTGTTCAAAAGTTTGGGATCAGTAAGATTTTTCATGTTTTTAAATAAGTTTCTTATGTTCATAAAGGCTGCATTTATTTATTCAAAAATTATATTTTTATTTCTGAAGGATCATGTGACACTGAAGACTGGAGTAATGCAGCCTAAAATCCTTTAACGGATTTGAATATTAGAAATGTGTTAGTGTGTTATGTGTAAGCCAGGTTAAAGAGATGGGTCTTTAATCTAGATTTAAACTGACAGAGTGTGTCTGCCTCCCGAACAATGTTAGGTAGGTTATTCCAGAGTTTGGGCGCTAAATAGGAAAAGGATCTTCCGCCCGCAGTTGATTTTAATATTTTGATATGTTTGTCACAGGATTGCTGTGAGCTTAGTGAAGCACAGAAAAGAAGGAGCATTTGGAGTTATGCTCTTTTTGACCTTGCAATAGTGCTGCTGTAATGAACAACAACCCGAGGCTGAATCTTATTTATACTTATACTCACCACAGTAGCAGTATTACCTGTATGATATTGTTTAATTTGAGTTTGGTTAGTTTTTAAATTCAAAAGAGTACTGAGTCCCTGTCATTTTCCAAGATGTTAGGTAGAATGACAGCTTCAGTCACTATTCACTTTTATTGTATGAAAAAAGAAGCCATGAAAGTGAATGGTGACTGAGGCTGTCAGTCCCTAACATTTCTGCCTTGCATCTCCTTTCCTGTTCCACAGAAGAAAGAAATTCATTGGGGTTCGGAGCAACATGATGGTTAGTAAATAACTGAACTTCCATTTTTGGGTCAACTTTGTCTTTAAATGGTCTGACTTTGCTCACTGCACAGTATGTTCTTTTGTATATCAATTTATTATTTACTAACTCTGTCACTTACAATGCAACGTGTTTAGGATCCATCGAGGAATATGCCATCTGTAAGTAATCTTTTTTTTTTTTTTTTTAAGACGGTGATTTCGCAAGCATATAGTTTCTTGCAAGTTATAAAACGTTGATAAGCAAAGATGGGATGTGACTGGCTCAATGTGTAAAGGGTCAATACACAAACTATGTTCAGTTTGAGAAAATTCTCACGGGAGGTCGTGCCCTCGCGCGCGCTTTCCACTCGTGTTATGTTGAAACTTGTCTATCGACCTGAAATGGGACATTGATCTCATGATGTGTGATTCTGACAAGCCAACCTTAATATATCGCCGTCGCAGACTGGTGCTTGGCCAATTAAACAAAATTGACCCAATCTGACGTCTTTCGGCGTACATATTCTGTGTCTCGCGGAGCAGTTAGAACAGACCGAGTCAAGTTGTTATCAGCATAGCTGTCTCGACAGTTCACGATATGCGGTCAGTGATCGTTTCTGTTACTGGTTAGACATGCCGTTGTAGATGTTTTGTGCCAGTAGTCGGTGAATTGGAAACGCATCTACCATACATGTTCACTTTCGTGTTGTTTTTCAGTTGAAGAAATCCAGTCGATATTTTGAGCTCACCGTTTCAGGGTTAGACATCAAATTAGTGCAAATGCAATCCTATCAGAGCACGCACGCGTACACACGCGCGCTCTTAGAGTCGTCAATATGGCATTAGACTTATGCATAACAGCTTATGCTATGACACTTCAATGCATTTCTGTAACGCTCTGTAATACTTAGAAAAGTTGTGTGCATAGTGAAGCGAGTATTCTTTAGCGTTTTTAAGTAATTCAGTCGAGGGGGTCAAAAAACATCTCAAGGAATCCAATGACGCGCGCGACGCCTTTTCAGCACCACGGACAGTTCCAAGCGCGCACAGCGTCTCCGAGGCGCGCGCTCAACGCAAACTTCACCCGCTGATTGAAACCTGGATTCCACTGCTGGAATTCAGCCATATGTTTTAAATGCGACATTAGAGTAATACGAAACTGTCAGCAAGGATACGAAGAGAATAGAAGGACTTTTAACCGGATGTCTTAGTAGATCCGCCAGGAATCTGTCGATGAGAGGTGAACTGGACAGGACTGTCAGCAAGGATACGAAGAGAATAGAAGGACTTTTAACCGGATGTCTTAGTGGATCCGCCAGGAATCTGTCGATGAGAGGTGAACTGGACAGGTCAGGTAAGATGGTTATCGTCTGATTCTTATCTGTTGATATACATTTCTCATATGTGATTTGTGGAGATCGGTTAGTTCGACAAAAACAGACAGGAATGAACTTAGCGTTGTTAAGGGTTAAAAAGATGTGTGGCATTTTGTCACCTGACACGATCAAGAAATATTAATAACAACAACAACAAATGTCCTCTTTAAAATAAAAAGCATTACATTGTTTTTCATTTGCACGAGTCTTTCTGGTTAAGACGTTTTCAAAAAGGCAACACAAGCGTCACATCAGATGAGCAATCGCACAGGTAACATCTCATCACATATCGCTTTGAATAGCAAAACACTCCCGCTCCGGGGTGTGTCTGGAAACGCATCTCTGGATGTATAGAAAGCGTGTTCCCATACTCCAACTTTATTTATGTAAAAATCGTGGCTTGTTGCGTGTATGTTCAACAGTTTGTGACGTGAAAAGGCAGTGGATATATTTAATCAGCTTCAGATTAACATATCACAAGTTTGTTGACGGTTTACGTGACGAATCTTATTAAAAACTACTTTAAAGGCGTTATACGGTTTAATTTCAACGCTTGTCGACTTTTCCCTCCACCCTGAAACTTCGAGTCGTATTATGAAGTCTTACAAATGTTCTAACGTGTTGCTTTATAACAATTTATAGAAAGCGTGTTCCCATACTCCAACTTTATTTATGTAAAAATCGTGGCTTGTTGCGTGTATGTTCAACAGTTTGTGACGTGAAAAGGCAGTAGATATATTTAATCAGCTTCAGATTAACATATCACAAGTTTGTTGACGTTTTACGTGACGAATCTTATTAAAAACTACTTTAAAGGCGTTATACGGTTTAATTTCAACGCTTGTCGACTTTTCCCTCCACCCTGAAACTTCGAGTCGTATTATGAAGTCTTACAAATGTTCTAACGTGTTGCTTTATAACAATTTGCATTTGATTTAGAATTAAGACACTATCAATGATATTGATATAGCCTACAATGAATCATAAAGTAAAGCGTATAATGCAATGTCTCTTATTCAGTTGTTCATGTGAGATACGCTGTAAACATTTTTATTAAATTTATGTGATATATCATTTGAACAAAATCAGACAGAAGACTCTCTGGCCTTTAGAATATATACATTTTATCCGTCATCGTTTTGCAGGCTATGGTATGGGAACTTGTTTTTTTTATTATTATTATTATTGTGACTGTATGTCCCATTCAAGTTAAAACTTTCTCTCGAATCACAATAATAGCTAACGGTGTTAATTCATGCCCTGGGTTTTGATTGCTGCTTCTCTGAAATGTTTAAAATCATGGTCATATCCAGGCTATATCAGCCTTATATCACAATGTGGAGGTTTGACCACGTCTGCTGTCACCTAAAATGATATCATACGGGAGTTAATATCAACATTATCATCGATTAATTTTTCGCCCCTATTTATGCATTGAATTAAAAATTAATTGCATTAAATATGGAGACAAACACATGCTAACGACCACTATGTGTGTTTTGCTTTGGGCGAGCATGGCAGCCCATGCTATACTCAAGCTGTGGTTTAAAAATAATAGCAACCCATACAGAGACGAACAACCGCTATGGTTAGTTTTAAATAATTCAAGCTCGCGCTGGACATGCTCTTATCTTCTGTGAAGACATTATCGAGAGTCAAGAATCGCGCCACGCAGCAAGTCTCTGCTCACTAGAGTTGGAAAACGAGAACCATAACGGATCCCTGAACCTGAAAATAAACAGAATCACTGAGTTGGAAAAAGGATCACCCTAGTGATCCAGTAAGTAAGTTCAGTTAAATTTGATGGTGACCGTTTGTGGACTGCAGTCTTCAGGTCATTCCATAGATTTTCAATGGGGTTTCAGTCCGGTCTCTGACTATAGGCCATTCAAGGACATTTACCTTTTCTCCTTTAACCACTGGTCAGTTTTGCTGTTGCATATTGGAAGGTAAACCTTCTTCCCATTGACAACTTTCTGGCAGAGGGCAGCAGATTTTCCTCAAGAATTTGACGGTATTTTGCCCCATCCATTTTTCCTTCTATCCTGACAAGTGCTCCATTCGCTGCTGCAGAGAAACACCCCATAACAGGATAGCACCACCTCCATGCTTTACTGTAGGAATGCTGTTTGGATGGTGAGCTGTATTGGATTTCCGCCAGACATTTCGTTTGATGTTGAGGCCAAATAATTGAATTTTAGCCTCATCTGCCTCAGAATCTTCAAGGTGCATTTTGGCAAAGCTCAGTCGTGACTCCATGTGGCCTTTCTTGAAGAGTGGCTTTTTTTCTTGCAACCCTCCCATACAAGCCACATTTGTGGAGAATTTGGGATATTGTTGTCACATGCACACAATGACCACTCTTTGTCATAAATTCCTGCAACTGCTTCAGAGTTGCTGTAGGCCTCTCCTGTCCACAACTTTATCCCAGAGATCTTTTGACAGTGCCTTGCCAGCCATAGTTGATTGTTTGCTTCAGTTGAAAGACGGTTAATTTTTTTATTTACTGATTAAGACCAATTGAATTGCATTTATTTTACTTCAATTATAGGAATTTCTGAAATGTTGAAATCTGAAATGGAGCAAAAGAGAAATAGAGTTAAGGAGTGAGAGAGAGATAAATAAAAGCCAATCCTTCTGGTCTCAGTAATCCAGCAAAGTGGAGACGCCTCTTTGAGCACAGCGAAGCTGTGTTATCACTGCCATGGCATGTAAAAGTGCCTCCTTAGTCCTTATCTGCGAGCAACACAGCCGCATTGAAAATTGATCAACAATAAAACTCAAAATTGCTAACACAGAGTTCAACTAAAGGCTTTTTAGTCTGAACAACAAGCATTTTTGGTGAAGAATTTACGGTGGTGGGATAAGTCACAGATTCTGACAAGTGTCTTAGGCAGGAAATAGTTTAACCTCTTGTGAGATTAATCTGCTACAGGAGTGATTGATAGGTTACAGCAACAAAGATAGTAAAAGTAATGGAGGTGTATTGGTGTGTCACAGTGGCTTTAATGGGAGTATTATCACCTCACAGCAAGAAGGTCTCCGCTTCGAGTCCTTTCTGGGCTGGGAGACCTTTCTGTGAAGAGTTTGGATATTCTCTTTCTCACCCTCATGTCGTTTCAAATGTCTATGGCTTTCTTTCTTCTGTGGAATACAAAAAGAAAATATTTTGAGAAATATCTTAGTGTTTTGGAACGATATGAGGGTGAATAAACGATGACAGAATTAATTTCACAAGAGGACAATGGGCATGACAGTTGAGCGAGTGTTTTCATTAAACGGATATCTTATCACATCTTCATCCCTGATAATCACAGATCATTTTATTAAACTACTACATGATTAACAGATGAAATGATTGTTGTATTAAATGAGGCAGCTTAATTCATTCTTATCGCTTAATAGCAATAATAAAGTTTGGTTTTATTAGCTAAACTTTATGGACAAAGTGAGAACTGAATGATGAATATAATCCACTTCTTCACTGTATGGTTAATGGTGCATTCTTATGATATTTAACTTATCCCAAATAGCAAAGATCGATTTAACGTTAATTCAATGTTGAATCAATGATTTTTGCTAAGTGCAATTCCATTTACAACATATAGCGTTATAGCAGATTCAACACCAATCTGTTGACTGAACTTTTGCGGTAAAAGTGCTGTGTGAATGTCTTCTCACTATGGCAGTCTGAGGTAATGCTAAGATTCTCTGGAATGCATCAGGCACATTCAGTAGCAGATGGTGTGTGTTTCTTGTCAAGCATCTGGTAAAAAACTTACAGAGAAATTCTTCGACCGTGCAGATCCCAGGAGAGACTCGTGCACAGAGACAGGAGGATCTGTGTGTCTTTTGTGCATCTGTGCAATAGGGCACGTGTGTATATATGTGTGTACTTCTGAGAGAAAGTGAGGAAAACTAAAACAAATGCAAATACTTAGAACCAAAGGCGGACATGTAGTAGGGTTTCATTCCAGTGGGTCTGTGCTGTGTACTTTTTCCATCAGGGAGAAATGACCATGTGTGTGTTCACTCACACTCCTGAGAGTATGTGTCAGATAAATACATAATGTGATGTATTAGGGTTGCATTAAAGTGTTTAAAGGCAAAAGGGAAACCCTGTATGAAGCAGCTAATGGGTCTCCAGTGACTCGGACATGAATAATGTACAGGTTTACAGAAGAAGGGGAGAGACCAAATAGAATACAGAGAAGAAGCTTCCTTATGTCCTTGTGTTTGTAAACGACACTACGGACAGTAATTAGAGAGAGTGAGAGACAAAGAAAGAAGCATATATGCAATATATTTTGAAATCAGCTGCGGAAAAGACGAAGAGGTTGCTCAGTTGCATATACAGTATATATATATATATATATATAAATATGAGCAATATCACTCGAGTACGAGAGCGATACCGGCTCTATATCAGCATGGCTGTGATTAGGCCAGAGGCACGAGGCCGCAGGTCGAATGTAACAGCAAAGTTCATCCAGAAGTGAACATTCATCATTTGATGAAATCGAGGCTGTGAGGGATAGAAGTGCAGTGTGTTCAATGTTGTTTAACAACATATGATTTGGCTGACAAACCAACTTTCTGGGGGGAAAAATAAGTAGACAAAACTCCATAAAACAGTTTTGAAAGTTAAGAAAATTACACAATCTAGGACCTTTATAGTAGGCGTGGAACGGTTCGCGGAAAAAAATCGAACCGTATGGTTCTCCACACACGGTTCGGCACGCGCTAGGACCGCGGTTCAACTTAAATCTGACAACGCATCTGTAATATGGTTTGCTATAAATAACACATAAAACAAACAGGGTTCGGCTAATGTGTGTTTCTGTTGATGGATGCGCATTCTGGCTTCCCAATAAATTACAACAACAGCAATGAAAAAAAAACGTGGACAAACCATTCACTCTTGTTCAATGCGAATACCGTATGCTGGAATATGAGCAGTCATTTATTCCGTCATCAC